TTTTCCTTGAGTGATGCCTGGTTTCAGAAATTGAAGAATGAGGAGGGCTTGGCAAAAACCAAGTGGAGAATTGGAGGCTGTAGCTGGATCCAGATGCTGGTTTAACCACCCCTGGTTCTTTGTGTCGCTCTTGTCTGGAGATGTGTGAAAACAAGGCTCCGCTGCCTTCCCAAGGTTCTCTGCAAGCACCAACCCCAGCAGCAGGCCATAAGGGCAGTTGTGCACGTATCTCACACGCACACACAGCACCTGCTAGGCCCTGCCTTGTATGTTTGCAGGTGACACTGTATCTATCTTGTGGCAGAAGCTGAGTGTTGTAATTAACAGAGCTCGAGGTAACTCCAGAGTCTCTGGGGGCGGTAACGCTCCACCAGTGTCTCTAGCACACTCCCAGGTGCTAGTGGTGAAAAAGCCGCTTTGCAAACTCTGCTCCAGTCCCAAGTGGAGCAGTAAAACAGGATTCCCAAGGCGAGAGGGCAGCATGGAAATTCTCACGACATTATGTTGAATGGAAACCAAAGAAAGCAGGGAGGCAGATTTATTTTTGTGCAGTAACGGTAAGGTATCCTCCAAGAACTTAAAGGAGCAGAAAGTTATTACCATTTTCTGAGCTAGTCTATAAATGAAAAGTGAAAAGGACAAGTGGAGGGAATGGGAAAGGAAGGCTCTGGACACCAATAAAGAAGGGGCAACTGACGTGGGATCGGCCGAGATGAGGGCTGCAAGGTAAACCAAGGAGCCCCTCCGAGCACCTCCCGTGGCCCAGGGGTCCTGACAGAGGACACAGTCGTGCTGTAGCAGGTCCTGCCCATCACCACACGCCTCGGGGGTGGGGCTTGAATGGAAAGTGGCGAACCTCACCCCACTGGCTGTGCAATTGAATAACGCTCTTGTCAGCAAACAGGCTTAACCGAGGACCTCCACATGGTTAGCCTGCAGGGGGGGACGCTCTGGCCAGACACTGTGTGCACCTGTGCCCCTAGGCAAGGGCATTTATCTCTGTGAAGAAGTAAGTTGGCATTTGGTTCATTTGGTCACCTCCTGCCAGCATCAGAATCGGAGATCTGGCCTGACCAGCTCTGGGGCCTAACACGGTCACACTGCGGAGCTAATCAGCCAAGGACCACACCCTAGACCTTAGGAAATCATTGCTAAGACTAAGAGCAAGCATTTACATGGAAGAAATAATAACTGCTTTAGAATTTGGGTTGTGGAATGATGGGATGATTACTTTCCTCTGTTATCGAAAATGGTTGTAGTTTGCTTACATAACTTGCAAGAACACAAGCATCTTTAAAAGATAACTCCTAGTCATGCTGCAGATATTAGCCATGAACCTTCCCTTGAACTCTGCTCCAACTACCCTCCCACTGCCTGTTATTCATTTAATAAGCATTTATTGGGCACCTGCTATGTGCCAAGCTGGGTAATGAGAAGTCAGATGGAAGCATAAAGTTGCTTTCTGTGGTAGGGGTGCTGCACTTGTTTAGAAGAAGTCAGAAGCTGAGGGACAGCCCCACCCCACCTGACCCCACTCCAAGCACAGAGCGTAAGTGGGAGTGACAGAGAGACAAAGGGCAGGATGCAACCCAGCCAGGCCCACCGCTGACCCACAGAGACAACTGCACGGTGCCTGCAGGCTGTTCGGTGTCTGCGAGTCCGCAGGGATCACACCCAGCAACAGATCGCCAGGAAAGAGAGAAGCAGCCAGCGAGGCTGTAGGCTTCCCCAGGGGACCCCGGCTGTGCTCTCTCCCAGCCCTGGGGAAGGTGCTGACTTTGAGCTACTGGGATTCTTAAGAAGACTTCTTGGTTACGGGAGTGTGAGGCCATGGCTGGACAAGAGGGGACTGCTTCAGCCGGCCTGCAGCATGCCTGCCAGAAAAGGGGCTCCGGTGAGGTGCTGGGATGAAGTACATCCTGGGAAGAGGAGGCCCAAGAGTTAGAAGATGCTGGGGTGGGAGGAGAGACTGAGTTGGGCCCCGGCCCAGCCCCACTGGCCCGCCTTCCGCTCCCGCATCTCCCTTCTCAGAATAGAGCTTCTCTGCGACTGTCTCCCTACCAGCTGGCAAGGTCCTCCAAGGCAGGCCCTAGGGTTTCATCCCTTCCTGTTGCTGCCACATGTCTGCTTCTCATCCCCTCTCTGCTGTCTGTCAGTCTTCAGCCTCCTGCATCAACCCACGACGGCGAACACCAGGGAGAGGCCCGTGTGCAGGACTTGGGGAAATGAACCCAGTGCCTCCCAATATCTGGCATACCAGCCTTTCCATGGAGGTGTCAGGCTGGCTGGGTCTCACCCCGTGATGGGACCCCTCTCTGTTCAGCAAGCGGGATGGTCATTCCAGGCAGGAATGCTGATTTTTTTGCTTGGATAGATGTCACCACTGTACTTAAAAAGGTGCTTGTCTTCTATGATGAGATGTGTGGAGGGTGAGCGTGGGTCCATCTACCCAATGACACCAAAGGCATCCAGGTTACAGGTGTTGATGGCAGTGGATATAGGTCATCATTAATAGTTACTAATGAAGGAGGGTCTTCTGGACAAAAACTAAAGGTAGGTGGTGAACACGGGGTGAGACTTACAATTAAATCAAGAGGAAGAGAGAGGCATTCATGGTAGTGGCTTAGCTTGAGGGAAGACATGGGGACACAACCTGTGGCATGCCTAGGGACAGAGGAGGTGGCCAGCCTGACTTCAGGGCCCTCCTGCTGAGCAGAGGTGGAGGTCAGAGCCCAAGAAGATCAGGTTTTCTTAAATCATCAGAACACTTATGGCACTTCATAACTCACCCCTGCAAGAGCCCCTGGTAGTTCTGTGCTACTTAGCCCAGGGTGAGGCCTAACAAGAGAATTTGCCAGTGCTGTGGTAATGCACTCTGCCCTATAAGGGTGCCCCTGGAGGGGAAGGATGCCTGGCCCATGTACAGGCATGGTTCATGGCGAATATCCCCTCAGGAGCCATGCAGGGGAGATGACAGATTGTAGAACTGTTTGAGAACCAAGGAGGGATGGTTCAGGGACAGGAGGTCTGGGGCTCAGAAATGCATCATTAAACAAAGGTTTAATTCTTCCTTGGTTAGAAAATGTTTGAGCACTTTCTTTTTAATGGGCACAGTTGCTTTGCACCAGCCCAAACCGTATAATAAACAAATGGAACCCATAAACACATTGGCTTTTCTCATGTTAATATGGCTTCTGGCTCCAGCCAAGAGAAAATGCTCTGGTCTTGGGGGAGAGACTTGGGTGTCTGAGAGTGCGTGCTGGGCCCCTAGTCATGGGAGCGGAGAGCCCAGATCCCATGCTGGGGCAGCTCTAGGCCCTGGGCCCCAGGTGTACGAACAGGACCTTTTTCTTAAGCAACTTGCACAAAGTCACACAGCAAACACATGGCAACCCTGGGTTGGGCCACATGTCAGCCTGACACCTGGGTCCACAGGGGGGCTCCGCCTCTGCAGCGTCCCTTGAGGACAGGCCATGGCAAAGGGGCACAAAGCTGCAGAGCAGGAGTCCTGTGAGTCCACGGCTGCACTGATTCCTCACCAGTGTCACCCCCAGCCTGTGGGGGCAGAGAAGCCTTGCTCACCTGGGCATGCGCAGGGGCCGGGCCGCGACAGCACAGTGCACGTTGCTGATGCAACAATCCACTCATCAGACAGCTATGTGGAGCACCTACTCTGCACAGGCACTTGGCCAGGTGCTCACCAACCAGATTGAATGTCCACAGGTGCCTTCCCCGACTTTACCAAGCTCACAGTCCAGTGGGAGGTGAGGAGACAAGGCAGCAAGTTTACAGGTACAGAATAACAGGGAATGAAGCTGCTGTGGGTGAGAAAGAACAGTACCAAGGGTAGGAAGGAGCAGAGCAGGAGGCCCTTTCCCAGGAGGTGATGGGTAAGTTGAGATCACAAGAAAGAGGAAGAGGAAGGGGTGTGAGATGTTGGGGAAGTGTGTTCCAGGCAGAAAGAACAGCAAGTAGGTGTCCTGAGGTGGGAACAGGTCTGGTCTGCTTTAGGAATGGAAGCCCAAGGGACTGGGGCAGGTGTGACGTGAGACAGAGAAGGTAGGACAGACTGTGCCGGGCCTCCTTGGACTAGGTGAATAATTGGAAGATTATTTTAGGTGCCGTGGGAGTGTCTGAAGGTAAATGAATGGCAGAGCTTTGTTTCCCATGGGATCACTGTGGCCACTGGGTGGAGAGTGGACGGCAAGGAGCAGCAACCACAGAGAGGAGAGCAGTAGAGTCCTGTAGCAGCACGGATGACAGCCCCTGAGTGGAGCTGCGTTCTCCTGAAGAGGCAAAGTCAGCTCATGTTGCTGGTGACCCAGCGGTGGGGTGAGGAAAGGAAAGGCAGAGGGCTGGAAGACAGAGCTGCCTCTTACTGCCAGCAGGAGACAGAAGGAATCATTTTCTGTGCAAAATGTCAAGATTCTGAGGTTGAACCTGAAATGCTTGTGAAACATCAAGTGCAGATACCAAAAAGCTCCCAAGGTATTCAGCTGTGGAGCTGCAGGAGAGGGGGGTATCATACTAGAGCCATGAGGTTAGGTGAGGAGAGGCCTCCGGACCTGCGACATGCAGGGGCTGAGCAGAGGGAGTAACGGGTGGAGGGTCAGAGACGGGTAGAGACCAGGTGAGGGTGAGGGGGTATTCCAGGAGGGGAAGAGTGGCTCACGGTGTCTGCTCTATGGAGAGAGCTTTGGACACAGCACCACGCAGGTCACTGGCAGCCTTGACAGATTCACCATTTCTGTGAGTGACTCTAAGGGTGTTTAAAGAAGAGCCGATACCCACTGTGGGCCTGAGGGCAGGGAAGGCTTCCTGAAGGAAGTGGTGTTTCAGCACAGCTTAGAAGGCTCAGTCCTGAATGCTGCCGGCAAGAGCATCCCACAAAGAGCATCTAGCGCCACTAACCGGCGTCCCTGGCCTTGGGAGCAGCACCTCCCCTCACAGGGCAGAGGGGGCTGAGGAAAAAGCCCATGCCCCTCCCACCTGCCTCTCACCTGGAGACCACCAGTGGCAGGATCAGCATCTTCAGCATCCTCATCAAGAGCTCTCCGGGGAACTGGAAGTAACTAATCTCCTGGAAACACAGCAGGAGCTGGGGTTACGGTGGGCGGTGCAGAGTCCTCAGCACTCAGTTCCTCACCCCTCAAAGCCTGTCTCGTCTGGCACATGGGCACAGAGCCCAGCGCAAGAGAAGTGGCTTTCCAGCCTAACAGCTGTGTTCCAGTCCTAGCAACCCCTGCCCTCCACATAGCAGCAGTGTGGCCTTAAGCACACTACACACCATCTCGGAGTTTTTCTCACCTGTAACAAGAGGATCATAACCACCTCACAGTGTCCCTAGAAGGCCCGAATGACAAAATGCACACAAACATAGCACATGGAGGAGAGAAGATGCTCAGTACTCCTTGAAGATAACAGCTCTTCCTCATCTGCCCGCCTCACCCACCTCTCCAAGGTGTAAAACCGCCCCATCCAGCAGACGGAGAGTGGGAGGGGGGCAGGGCTCTTTTCCCTAAAGCCACAAGGCCAAGCACCACACTGGGGACACAAAAACAAGACTTAATTCCATCCCTGGGAAAGTTCCCAGGCTAGTTCATGGGGAGAGTGGGTCCTAGCGGACGGTGAGCCAGTTTCTTATGGGGCTGCTCCCCTCTCTAGCCTTTCCCCTCAGAATGCAGAAAGGGAGGTGGATGGGATGCTGAGAACCACTCTGGAGAGCTCTAAAAACCCCTTGAAGAGCTCTTACTTCTCCTCCCTTGTGAGCTGCTGGCCGGCTCTGGCCTGCCTTGAGTTTTCCTGGGCCCCAAATGCTGACCTGATCAGCTTTTACCCAAAAACAGGTCCCAGGAGCCTAAGTGACAAGAAGCAGAAGAGACCACCAAGCCTGGCTCAATTTTCAGATAATAAATCACTCTTTACTTGTTCTTAAAACGGTTTCATTGTTTATCTGCAAGTCTAATTTAACTGGGTGTGCTGTGTGTGAAGTTTAAATGTAATGCAAATTTGCTGTTTCTGGCAGTGCACACAGAGGTCCCTTTTCCGGACAGGAGGATGTGGGTGAGGCTGGCGATTGGACTTGGAAATACTCTCCAGGTTACCTTTCGTACTTGGAAGCAGTTTTTAAAACCAGTGCCAAACATAACGATTTGTTAGTGACCTGAGGCTTTGAAAGCCCCGAATTATAGAATTTTGGTGCTACCAAGGGGTTTTTAGAGATCTCCTCGTCCAGCCCACTCATTTTGTAGACAAGGAAGCTGAGCCAGGAGTAGGAGGTGACCTGTCTGCTGAACGACTGCACACGATGGAGTCGAAATGCACCAGCAATTTTGCTCTTTAAGGAACTATATTCATCAGATCTACGTATTTTACGTTAACTTTAATCTATGTGTATATTCTTTAAATAGTGCTCTGATGATACAAAGGCAACTCTTTCCTCTTTTCTTGATCTCCATTTCCAAAAATTGCCAAAGTTGAAGAACAGACACCTTCAACTCTGTCTCCCCTTTGAAACAGTATAGTTTCAATGCTACTTCCCACGTTACCATTGGGACAATTAAACTTCCCTGCCAAGATCCAGGAGGGCTTATTACCTACTCCCTTTTCTACTTCCTAGTTCACTTATATTTATATTAATTTTTGGGTAAATCAGTACCCAAAGATAGATAGATGATAGATAGAGGTAGAGATAGAGATGATAAAAATGATAGAGATGGGGCTGGGGATTTAGCTCAGCGGCACAGTGCCTGCCGGCAAGCGCAAGGTCGTGAGTTTGATCCCTGGTACAGGGGTTGAGGGGGTAGGGGGGACAAAAACAAACAAAAAAAGAAATGATAGAGATGATATAGATAGAGATAGAGATAGAGATAGAGATAGATAGATAACTGAGGATTAATACAGGGCTCCACACATGCTAGACAAGTCCAAACCCACAGAACTACAGTCAAGCTCCAAAGCTGACAGTATTTTGATCATCAAATATTGTTCACATCTGAGCCAAGTCTTGTACTACAACCATGCCTCGTGGCTCATATGACCTTCATTTCTTTCTCTAAAGTTAATTAATTGATGTGACATTTGCTTTGTTTTCTGTGTACCACTCATTAATTTCTTCTAAACATGTTAATCTGTCTACTTAAATGCCTGATCGTTTTCTACGCTTGAACATTAATTTCCTGTTATCTATCAGCCCAACAGTTCTCTGCTTCCTGTTCTAGCTTGTCACCCTGTTCTCTCAACACCGTGGCAGTTATTCTGGGACCTTATCCTGTACCCCAGTTTCTTGTTTTCTGTTCTTGTTTGGGTGGAACATCTCCTTTGGTACCTCCCTGAGAAAGGCAGATGGGAGGGAAATTTTTGAGTCCTTACATGAGTAGAAATGACTTTGTTTACTCTTACTTCTAATAAGTAATTATTTCTTTCATGTGTAGTTACTTACAAATCATTCATTCTTTACTTGTTCTTAAAACGGTTGCATTGTTTATCTGCAAGTCTAATTTAACTGACTGTGCTGTTTGTAAAGTTTAAATTTAATGCAAATTTGCTATTTCTGGCAGTGTCCAAGGGGCCCCTTTTCCAGGCAGGAGGATGTGGAATTACTTCTTTCATATGTAAGATTTTTGGTCGAAAATAATTTCCCCTCCCAGTTTTCAGGGCATTGCTCCTTTGTCTTCAGCTTCCAGTGTTGCTTAGGATGGTGTTACCATCCTAAGGTCACACCATCCTTATTCCAATCCCTCACACAAGACCTGTTTTAGTCCCTTGGAACCACCTAAGGGTCATTTGTTTATTTCCACTTTTCTGTAATTTCATGATGATGTGCCATGGTACAGGATAAACCTCTCCTGCCTTGCCTTGCCTTGCCTTTCCTCCTCTCTCTCCCTTCATTCTTTCTTCCTTCCCTCCCTCTTTCTCCTTTTTTCTTTTTCACTATACTTTTCACTCTTTGGCTGTCTTCAAAACTGTTCTAGGTAGTTGTGCATGTTGCACATGCTCCTTTTCTTATATTTTCTTTTTCTATTTTCATCTTTTTGTGTTATTTCCTGAGAAATTTCTACAATTCTATCCCAGCTATGGACGTTTTTTATCTTGGTTTTCCTACTTTTGATTTCCAACAGCTCGGTCCTCTTCTCTGACTTTTCCTTGCTTGTAGCATCCTATTCAGCCTTTTGTCTTTGTGGTGATGGGGACTGAAGGAACCCAGGGCATCCATCACGTGTGCTGAACACATCCCCTACCATGTGCTGCGCCCCAGCCCCTACGTCCCATTCCTCATTATGGTAACTGTACCTTCTCTCAGATCTCCAAAGATCTTAAGAAAAGATTTCTTCTGCTCTCCATTGTCTCTGCGTTATCGGAGACCCTCTTTTCTCTCTGGTTTCTGTCTTTCCCATGTGCAGTTTCCCTCATGTTTCTGGTGACTTTGGCTTCCTCTTCACAGGCAAGTGCGAGGCACTGGCTTCTGTGACTGTGCACGAGGTTTGTCCACTGACAGCCTCAGGGCAGGTGCCGGATATGAGCTTCCGTTTTCACTAGGGGTGGATGCCATAGGAGAGGAATGTCCTTTCTAGCATAGTTTGGAGGCTTTTCCCCTGACGCTTCAGTGAGAGGCCTCATCTGACCTTTGAGGGATGAGGCTGTGCCTAAGCCAAGCTGTCAGCTCTCTTGATGCTGTGCTGGAGATTTCACACCCAAAATGCAGATGTCTGTTTATGAGTCTGAAGCATGTGACTCACCACACCCCCGCACCCCAGCACACACAGGTAGGCCTCCTGTCCCTCTGTCAGGCTTCTTGAGCTCCTTGGGCAAAAGGAGGAGAACGGAGAGGTGAAGGGGAGGAGGAAGAGGAGGAGGAGGAGTCCTTTGACCATAGGGCCCTTGCACTCTGATTACCTTGGCTACAAATTCCAGCCAATGTCTTTGCTTTCAGCTCCACACACACCTCAACCTGCTACAGCATAGCACCCAGAGCCCGTCTGGATTTCTTCTTCCGGAGATGGAAGATTTTAGCTTTCTGCCCTCTGCTGAATGAGGTTGTACAGCTCTACTTCCCATATTGCCTGATTTAGTATAGTCTAACTTCCTTTCTCAACTGTGGTGGATGACAACTGGTGTTCAACTTGTAACACCCAGCTGAACTGAGTCAGCATGGTGCTGGGTGTGGGAGGCCCACCTGAGGATTGTTGCCAGCAGCATAAGAGGCAGAACTGGAGAGGAAGAAGCTTAGAGGCTGTTGGGAACTGGTAGATGCTGTTAGGAAGCTGGTGGAAGCTGTTTGGAAGCTATTGGGAAGCTATAGGGAGCTGCTGGTTTTGCTGGAGGAGTTTGTCATGCTGGCTTTCCTGATGAGCTCAGCTGTTCTTGTTGGAGGAGGAGCTCAGAATCTCATTGTCGCTGAGAATGGTTATGGTTCGCTTTGGGGGAGCTCTGGTCCCCACCTTGAGCATCGCCTCCTGGCTCAGGAGGGGAGATGGTGCCCTGCTCAGTCTTCTGGAGAAGTTTGTCGAATTGGCTTTCCTGATGGGAACTTGATGGGAACTCATCATCAAAGGAGCTCGGGACCTCACTAATGATAAGGATGGCTGTGGTACTTTTCGGGGGGAACTCTGGTTCTTACTTTGAGCGTTGCTTCCTGGCTCCAGTTTAGCTCTCTCAGCCTGCTAGCATGGATCCTTCATTCTGCTGGCACAGACTTTCTAGTTTCCACCACTGACCCTTGGGCCTTCCCAGTGCAGATCTGTGAAACAGGCCTGCATAAGACATTGTCATGGGCTCTAGGCCTCCAGTTGACTCATGGGAGGCATTGTTTTGGGCTCTAGGTCTTCAGCTGGATCCATGTAGGACATTATCGTGGGATCCAGACCCTCAGTTGGATTCTTTGGTCTTTAGTGTGTGGACAGATTTCCTGCACTCTCTTTTTGTATATGATTCTTTGGGTGACTATTATAATCTTATAAAACATGCGTCCACTATTATATTGTTCCCCTTGTAAAACCCCAAACTACACCATCAACTATTGTCTTTTATATTCTCATAGGTTTTGGTGATTCCAAAATTTGATCTCAATTCCAAAATTTGATGATTCCTTTAAATGATTCCATCAGTATTTTACTGGACTTCCAGGAAGGGAGAGAAAAAGGGATGCAATTGTAATTCCCCACCATTTAACTGGAAGTCTCAAATGGTCTGTATGTTTTTGATGAGATATTTATATCCAAAGATAGAATCTTTGAGTTTGTAAGCTCTTCTCCACAAATAGAACATTTTCCAAATTGTTTATGATTTTTGCTTGTTGCATAAGCTCGCAAAGTTAGAAAGTCTTAGTTTCTGAGTCACGGGCAAAGAGATCAAACAGAGAAATCCTGGATTTCAAAGTAAGACACTAAGAAAGCCAATTTCTGTGAAATGATTGTTCTAAGACTCCACATCCTTCCTTCAGTTTATCTGGCAGGTTAATCTAGACCAGAACACATTTGCAGGTCTAAACAGATGGGCAAGGCAGCTTTGGCACAGGGGGCCGCAGAGGAGCTTGGCTTTTAATAATAGGCATTCCAATTTGTTTTCACAAAATGGCCTTCCTGCAGGAAACATGTTATTTGTTACCGAGGAAAATCGAACGCAGCAGATTGTGGGCTGTGCGTGCCATTGCCAGTTTAATTCAGCATGTTGTTCACACTGCATGAGACTCATATTTGGTTCAAGAAAATTCATGTGTTGTTCAGCAGTTCCCAGCCTGGTGGGAGAAGTAGAGCCTTAAATAAATAGCTGGGAGCCAGCTATGAAGCAAGGGAGCCAGCAGCTGGGTTACCAGAGAGGAGGGCACGGGGCATGAGCATGGGGCAAGACTCTTACTCTAGGGACAGCCTGCAAAGTCCTGGGTTCAATTCCCAGTACCACAACAAAAACAAACAAAAACCCACACTGTTATTTCAGATGTCAGTAGGCCTGAAAACTGTAGGAGATGTGGAATGTGGGATGGTTCTTTGTGCAGGTGGGACCCTGATGGGTAAACAGAGGAGGGAGGGTGAAGTCATGTTCAGTGAGCATTTACTATGTAACATTGGCCAATGCTATTCCCTCCCTATGATTCTCGAGGACACATCCTGCCACCACCCCATTTTACAGATAGAGAAAGTGAGAAGAGAGAGAGAGAGAGAGAGAGAGGGAGAGGATTTTGCTCAGCCACTTACTAGCACAAAGTTCAGGTTCCTCTGACTACAGAATCTCACAGGCTTGGGTCAGGGTTATAGCTTAGTAGCACAAGCGCCTGCCTGGCAAGCACAAGGTTCTGAGTTCGATTCCTGGTACAGAAAAAAGAGAGACTCTAACAGGCTTATTAAAGAAATAATAGCTCTGTTCCCAGGTAGGGGATATTTTGTTTTCCATGGAAGACCAAGCCTGAGGCCTGGAGCACCTCTGTAGAGATAGTCTCAGCGTCTCCAGTGCGCTGCTGGAAGAGGAATCATGGGATCCAGAACTCCAGGGGCCCACTGACAAAGCCTCTGTCCTCCACCAAGCTGTATTTGGCTTCTCTGAGACCCTCTCCTTGGCCTGCATAGTGCAATTGTAGCAAAAATCCTGCTGAGCCAGTTTAGTAAGAACTCCCTCATCCTAACTCCCCCCTCTGTATCTGATAAAACTCTTACTACTCTCCATCTCTGATTCCCCACCCTGGATGTGTCCTCTTTGTTCCCATCCACTGAGCCCTCACTGTGCTCACTGGCTATAAATCCTCGGCTGCATTTGGAGCTGAAGCCCATCTGTCCCCATAGGAGTTCTCTATACCTGTCCCGAACAGTCTTCCCCAGTTGAACAAAGGTTGAGACAATTCTTTCTTCATGGCGTGTCCCCCTCCCCCACAGCAGAGGCTGGGAGAGAACAGGACCTTCCCTACGCAATGCGCCTTCACTCACCCCGGCCATTACCGGGGCCAGAAGCCGGGGGCCTGCCTCGCCCCTGTCTCCCAGCTCCACCTGCAGCCACCATCTCATCCTGAAGGTTCCTTCATTGCGAGCAGTTCTCATACCTGCCCCTTTCAGCCCAAAGTCAGGCATCACCCCTGTCTTCTCCACCCTTGCCTGCCCTCAGGATCCCAGGACCTCTCCAAAGCTCAGATCTGACGGATTACTCTTCTGCACAAAAGCAGTTCATAGACGCTCCAGGTCCATGTCTTTGGGCCCGCAGGACGCCAAGCTCTGGCCCCTGCTTCCCACTGTACACTCCAGCAGCCATTCCCCCGACATCTCCCTCACACTTGTGGCTTGCTCTTGTTCCCACTGCCCTTCCTGGACCTCTTGTAACAGGAGCTGGGCAGGGGCTATTCTCTGAAGACCCCACTCCCCGATCCTCCGCAGCTCTCAGCCCCACAGTGATTCTAACAGGGCTTCCCTGCCTCCCTGCTGCCCAGCCAGGCCAGCGCACCCTCACTCCTCACCCATGTTATTGGTTCCTCGCTTGAGCCCCGTGATGTTTATCACACCCATGTTACAGACTGGACCACAGGGACCGAGGAGAAAATGACTGTAGCGGCGTGGGGGAGCCCAGGATTCCTCTGGCCCACACCCTCCTCCTCATGGGGGCCCAAGGTGCTCCGGGGGGAGCTGACCTGTGGTGAGAGGCGCCGGGTCCTCAGGAAGAAGCCGAGGAGGCAGCCCACGATGACAGAGAGCACCGATAGGATGAGCAGTCCGTTCCGCCGGCACACGTCCCTGCCTCGCACCAGAAGGGCACCCAGCACCATGGTGAGCCGGGCCTGCTGGCATGGGGCACGGCACCATTCCATGCACGAGACGCCAGCCAGGGGCACAGGGTCTGCGCTGGGGCACCAGCTCCTCGGCTCACAGGTGGTCAGAGTCGCTAAGCGCTAGTGGCCAGCCCCACAGCCATGGTCTATGAGGCCGCCCCAGACGGAAGCCACAATCCTATTACCAGCTGTATCATTAGGAGCTGGGAGAGATTAGGGCCCAGGAAATTAGAGCAGGCCACGTGGCCTGGGAGCTGGGCTCTCCAGGCCAAGCGTTCCTTGAACAGAAAACTGGACCAGACACTGATGGGAGGAAGAAGAGGAACATGGATTTGGTGTTTGAGTTTTACCCCATTTCATTGCAGGAAGAAATGCAGGCCAGACACTGAGATCCCAGCGATCACCGACCAGCACAAAATAAGCGTTTACTTCTTGAGTGCCTTGTGTTGGTGTATGTCACCCCAACACCATGCCAAGGAGTAAGGACAGTTCACCTACTATTCTGCTGAGGAGCGAGTGAGCGCAGTGTGCCAGGCCCGCTCTGGTTGCTTTACCTTCGGTGATCACAGGAACACAGCCAACCACCCTCAGACCCCAGCTTCAGGCATCAGAAGGAAGACAGACTCCAGCAGCCAGAGCCCCAGCACAGTGACACAGCAGTGTGTAGACGGTGGACAATTTCCGCCCGTGCCCAGGGAGATGGGGCCTGGGGCCCTCAGTACCGTGCGGGTGGAGGCAGGAGCTCGGCGGATCCCACTGTGTTTGGCCTGCTCTGTATCTCCCACCTCAAAACCCAGATAAAGACACACAGTCTTCAGGGCTGTGCCAGGCAAGACCCTCAGAGGATTTTCAGGGTCTCCCCTTTTTTTCTCATGAAATAGGGTCTTGCTTTGTAGCCTAGGCTGGCCTCAAATGTGTGGCCTCAGCCTCCCAGGTGCTGGGATTACAGACATACACTGCCATACCTGGCTAAGGCGACCTCTTATTTTTGAAGCTGACAGTGCCCAGGAGTTCTTCATTTAAGATCCAGCTTGGCTACTTACTAGCTGTGCAACCCTGGATAAGCTAGTTCATCCCATGTGCCTCAGTTTTCCCTGCCCGTAAAACAGATAATAACTGCATCTCTTCCTTGGTAAAAATGCCATTCAGAGAACCCTTGTGAAGCACTGGTGAGCTCTACGGGCTGCACGGGGGCAGAGCCGTTGGGACCTCCACACAGCGTTTTGGAGGGAGGTTCCCTTGGTGCTGCTTCTCTGGGCCTGGCTCACATTAACCCCCTTCGATTTCACCAGGGCTTGGTAATCCCTTTAGGGCAGTCAGGAGGCAGCAGGGAGCAGCCAGCAGAGGCGGGGGTGAAACAGGTGTGGGGTTGAACAAGGGTTTCCTCCTCCGGACAAAGGGCAAGGGACAGAGGACAGAAAGGACAGAGAGGCCAGGGCCAAGGGACTGTGGACAGCGGTGGGGGTACAGGGCGGCAGCCATGGGCAGAGCTCAGCTGGATCCTGGTCGCAACCGTGTCGGCTCGTGGCCTTGTCCGCTGTAGCTGTGCCCGCTCCAGCCCTTTGTCCTGCCCTTTTAGAGTGACAGATGTGAGTGAGGCACCCACCGTCACCTCCCAAAGACCCCGCTCTTCTCAGTAGCCTTGGGAGGGGAAAAGGGTGACGAGTCTGAGACGTTTTTCTCCGACTCTGATTCTTAAAACCAAAACTTCACCTTCAACTCCAGCCAGTGCCTGGTTTTCCAATAACCAGGTGGCTGGTTTTGTCTGGAAGAGAACATGTGCAGAGCAGACGTTTGGATTTGGGTTTCAGTCAAGGGCCAGCCCTGTCCTTCCCCTCTGTCGTGCACCTGGAACAGCTTGCTCTCCCCTCCAGCGCCAGTGCACTGACCCCCCCAGCTGGCCCTACCACTTTCCTGACGCTCTGACCACCCCCCCAGCCACCTGCCCGATGCCAGGCCTTCCTGTCCTTTGCCCAACTACTGTATGCTCACCTGGGAGTCACAAGTCATGCAAGCAAGTGTCCTGAGAGCTCCATTCCCTGCCACCTCTGCTGTGCACTGCAGCCAGCAGTGAATCAGGCAAAGCCCCTTCCCTGGGGGGCGGGGGCTTATAAGAAAATGGAGAAAAGACTAATGCTCACTAAAGTGTAAATGACTGATAGCAAGCTGACAAGTGATATTTGTGAATTAAATTAAAATGTCTTTGGATTAGAATCCTTTAATAGTTCATCATTGCCCACACAAGCGATTTTCTTAAGTTATTCAATTATGGGAGCAATTTTTCCCTGTAATTTCACTTAGAAAATGAATTTAGGAAATGCTGGCAAGACAACGTTAAACAGATCCTTTATTCCAAGACAGCTCAAAGTCAGATTGCTGGAGTTAAAACCCTAGCCTTGCCACTTTTGGGCTGTGTGATCTTCGGCATTTCTTTCCCTCTCTGGACAGTGGGAATCAGAAAACAGCACCCGTGGGAAGGCTTGTGATGTGGGTCAGAGGGGCAATGCACACGGAGTGCTGGGCAAAGGCACTCAGTACCGCGGGCAGTTACAGGTCATGAGAGCAGAGTCCACAGCAGCAGTACAGGGTGCCGAATCCATCCTTCCAGAGAACTCTGGGCTGGGTCTGGCGTCCTCAGCGAAGTCCTCAGCATCTCGCCCTCCTCCCTGCCTCACCCCTCCTGTCCGGAGCATCCCGACCTTCCACACCAAACCACACATCCTGTCCCAGCTTCCACCCAGGCTATTTCCTGTGCCTAGGATGTCCTTTGTTGTCACCGGCTCACAGGTGGCAGGATCCCCCCTTGAAGCTTTCTGTCCCCTAACTACAGCAGGCATGCACCCCTCTAGCATCCTCCAACCAAGCCTGCCCTGTCTGCAGTCAGCAGCAAGGGATTAACCCCAGCTCCTCTTTTTCCTTCTTTTTTCGAGGTACTGGGGATTGAATCCCAAGGCCTTTGCACTGAGCTACATCCCCAGCTTTTAAAATTTTTTACTCTGAGCCAGGGTCTCACTAAGTCACTAAGTTGCCCAGACTGGGCTCAAGCTTGTGATCCTCCTACCTCAGCCTCCAGGGCGCTGGAATTATAGGTGTGCACCACTGTGCCACCCTAATCCAGTTCCTTTTTAAATGGCTCCGAGGAGAAAATACTCATCTATGAGCATAGAGTTCAGTCTGTTTGTGACTATGTCGTTTGGAACCCAGAAGTCAGGAGGGCGGGGTGGGAGCTGAGCTGTTTGAGGGGTACCATAAGGAGCAGGGTGTAGTCCTGCAGAGCAACTGGAACTGACAGTAGCACAAAGCTCCAGGGAGCCCCTGGGGGACTGGAGCTGGAGCCAGGAGCTACTATGGGCAGAGATCAGCCGCGCTGTTTTTAAAATGAGCCTCAGGCGCAAACCACAGGTGCGCAGCCGAGGAAGGCGCTGCCTTCTACAGGCGTCGTGCCTGCTGTGCAGGAGAGAGCAGCAAGCAGCTTTCCTGCTGGTGATGGATGACTACCCACAGCCAGGGCCAGCGGCGGCCGCCCCAGTGGGAGGTGGGTGTGGGGAGGTTCCCGGGACTTCAGTAGGCAGGGAGGGCTCCTGGTCCTGGGGCTGAGTCTCGCCCCTTCCACCATGTGTCCCAAGGCATTGAGGCTGAGCTGTCTGAATCCCAGCTGGGTTCATGGTAAGGACAGCTCTAGCGTGCTGGCTGCTGTCCAGAGACACAGCGGAGGCGCCTCGATCTCCCCGACGCGGCTCCCAGCTCACGCGCAGCCGGGCCCTTCTGGGAAGGCTTTCTGTGGGCAGCTGAGCAGCCGGGTGTGGATTCCTGAGAGCCTGAGTCACCAAGGGCTGATGTGACCTCTGCTGAGGGCTGGCCCTTCCCCATGCTGGCCTCTGACGTTCACCCCTGCTGCCAGCCCCTGTCCCCTAGGCTGGTGACCTTGGAAGTTGGGGCTGAGCACCCCCAAAAGCACTCAGCTGCCATGTGTTGAACAGTTACTATGTCCCAGGCTCCACGTGGGTGCCCTAACCTTTCATCCAACTCCCCAGAAAGTGCCAAGTGTGGGGAGCCAAGGAGTGAGTCAGCTCCCCCACAGTGTCATGTCACGGGGCTCAGGGCCTGGGTTCTAGGCCTGTGTGGTCCAATGCTGTAGCACTACTCACACTATGTATTTAAACCTACTCAGATTTCAAGCGCTCCAAAGCCACATGCGACCAGCCCCTACCGTGCTGGACAGTGCATTAGAGAACATTTCCATGGCCACAGAGAATTCAGATCCTAGCTTCTCTAGGAAGCTGTGCGACTCTTTCCAAGTGAGTGAACCTCTCTGATCTTAAAACCCCACACTCTTTTCAGTGTCCCTCCGTACTTCCTCTCACATTGGAGTATGTTAGTTTCAATGAAGCATGCAGCTAAACCCCCAGCAAGTTCAAATGAACCCCATTCAAATTTCCAAATTAGGACTCATTAGCAGTCACAGGAAGTTAAACCAAGCTGGTATAGCCAGAAAGGGAATTTATAAGCAGGGCCGACTACATCATCTCCAGGGCTCAGAGCCAGTGGGCATGTGCAGACACAGCTACGTACCCTATTCACGCAGCAGGAAAAGGGGCATTAAAGTATATACCATTTTACTCTTTTTTTCCATCGTCTCTCAACTTATGGTGTTTTTTATTTGCTACGTAATGTCATTCTGAAGTAAATAAAAATTTAAAAATACTTTTTTAAAACAGGGTCTCCCTCTGTAGTTCGGGCTGGCTTTGAACTCTTTACGTAGCCCAGGTTGGCCTCAAACATGCAGTGATCCTCCTGCTTCAGCCTTCTTGGGGCTGGGATTCAGGTTTGGATCACCATGCCCAGCCCCCAAAATAAAATTTATTAGCATGAATTGTATCATTCATCTTTATATTGTGCAGTGACAGCTTTCAGTGCAAATATTAGTGTTAAACTCATCTGCAGAATCACCCAAATGACACAATTTGTATTTAGTAGCTCATATGAGCCTATGTATTTTATTCCTACCGGGACAGTGGAGATGCAGGAAACTAACTCCA